ATAACGTTACTATTCGTGCGAACTCTGCAAATTTTGGAATCCACCACTTAAGACACTAGCTTTTTTCAAACTTAGTGAGTTGTTGAAAAAATTTTAGAAAACAGAAATTTTGAAAAAAAAAATTAAGTAGGATAGATTGAGAATTTCATTTAGAAAGTTTGAAAATTCATAAGTCTGAACTTAATCCTGCGGACGGAACGTCTAATAATAGGATCGAGTCAAGACTTGTGACTCAGCTCAATTTTTTTTGTTGATTTTTTCAAAGCGATTTCTCCACTAAAATCCATAGAATTGTTGGAGAAGTTGAAATAAAGACTTAGAAACTGGATAAATTAAAAAAAAATTTAGGTAAGACCCAATTAAAAAATTTAAAATTCCGATCAAATAATAGTTTTTCCAGGAACGACTGAGCGATTACGAAACAAAACGATCGAATCTATACAGTATTGAACGCTTGAAGGATCGCTTGGTGAATGCGCAGCTAGCGGATCCGGCAACAAAGCACAGAACGAGGCGTGCCGTTTCCGAAATTGGGAAACGTGTCAGCATGGTGAGAAATTTTTGCTGCCGAGGAAGGGCGGTCTGGTAGATACGAAGTAATGAGGGATACGGTGAACGAAAAATATTACTGTGAAGGCACGAATATTACGATTTCTAAAGTTTTTGTTCCTGTGGTCTTTTTTTTTCTTCGAAAAATTTATCTTAGAATTACTGAAGTGTTTTTAGATCAGAGGTTTACTGCGTGATCGAAAATCGGAAGTGGATTGTGCTGTAGAAGCAGCTAAAGCGTTCCAGGATGACTTGAACAGACTGAGCAAATTCTGTGAAAAAACCGAAAAAGCTATTCAGTTGTAAGCTATTCCGTATGATTTATTGCATTTTTTCCGAGAACTAAAAAACGGTGAGTATAACGCAATGAGGAATTGCACTGTGCCCTACAACTTCGTCATTGAGACGTCCAATTCCTCTGCCATTCGTTCATTAGTTTCGATGGTACATTGTTGCTGATATATACCGATTGCTTTGTTTGTGAATGGTTACTTTGTTGGCATTTGTTACAGTGAAATACCTCAGAGTGCCTCTACCCTTCAAGCAGAACGAATACGAAGGGAGTATTGACTTTTGACCATGAAACTAGCATTAGAATTACATCTCTCAGTCACCAAGTGCAAGCGCCTGTGGTCAGCTATAATGAATCCTCAAATTTTTACATCGTTTTCTCTTTTTTTTTGCGTAGTGATAAAAAAAGCAACTTTCAGAGTTGAAAATGCAACAATTTTCACTCCATCTGGTACTGATCTGGATTATGTTCGTTCCCAAGAAACAGAAACTGACCAGCTTGCGCGTGCTCTGCAAACTCGATGGAATGATGCTTGCTCTAAGGAGCCATCGCCAGATGCCCGCTTGAAAATTGTTAGTTTTACAGTTTGTATGCCAAATTCTCCCTTTCTTTTGTGCAAAAAAGTCTTCTGGAATATAGAAAATCAGTGAAATGAAACTAATAGCAAGAATCGAACAGCCTGGTCCAGGTAATGCCACGTTAGTGATGTTACTGGTATGCCCGTACATTCCGCGTGCAGCTACGTCAATATCTAGTATATAATAATTGACCAACGCACGGGCTGCCCGCGCGAAGATGCGTTTTTTGCATAGCTCCTCCCAGATTTTTGTCGCTAAAGGCACTAGTTTTTCCGGCATATGCTTCTAGCTAAAAAAATTTCAGACTGGCCGCCAGAACTGTCAGAAAACATCCCCCCCCAAAATTCCATCCTTCTTGCTTCTTACTTCCCCGAGTTAGCAACTTACCCGGAAGAAACTTTCACGGACCCGTACGTAGGTACCAAGCTTTCCCACAGGCAGGGCTTGAACTCGTTAATACCCACTTGGACATGGAACATCCCCCTAAGTTTTTAGCGTTCTAACTTCTCAGATCCACGAGTTATGAACTTACCCGAAAAAAATACTGACGGGCCCGTACATCGGGTATCACGCTTACTCGGAAGATAGGTTTCAGTGCATTAACACCTACTTGGACGGGAAAGATCCCTTTAAGATTTCAGCGTTCCAGCTTCTCAGATCCCCGTGTTATTAACTTACTCGAAAAAATTTTGGCGGGCTCGTACACGGGTACCACGCTTACCGGGCGGCTCGGTTTAAGCTCACTAATACCCACTTGGACGGGGAACATCCCCTTAAGATTTCAGCGTTCTAGCTTCTCAGATCCCCGTGTTATGAACTTAACCGAAAAAACTTGTGGGGCCCGTAAGCGGGTACCACGCTTACCCGGCGGCTGGGTTTGAGCTCACTGATACCTACTTGGATGGGGAATATCCCCCTGAGATTTCAGCGTTCTAGCTTCTCAGATCCCCGAGTTATGAACTTATCCGGAAAGAATTTTGGTGGGCCCGTACGCGGGTACCAAGTTTACCCGGGGAATGGGTTTCAGTGCATTAACACATACTTGGGCGAGGAACATCCCCGTAAGATTTCACCTTTCTAGCTTCTCAGATTCCCAAGTTATGAACTTACCCCAAAAAAACTTTGGCGTGCCCGCACGCAGGTACCACGCGGGTGATGGCGCCCATTTTGGGGATTGGGGCCGACACGTGCATATAGATTAAGTTCCCGAAATTTGAATCCTGCAGCTTTTATAGGTCTTGAGATGAAAATCCGTGACAGACGCACACACGGACACCGGGACACACAGACAACCCCTCGTTAATATGCGTTTTTGCATTGCATAGCTGCAAAAAACGCATAAAAAATACACCAAAATTTGTACGTAAAATTTCTTCTATGGTTTTTGCACTACAGTTTACATAGTTTGCCTTTTTTCTAAAGCTGAGGCTGATGCCTACCTAAATAGAATTAGGCCTGAAACAGTTTAGTTAAATTTTGACGTGAAATTTCTACTCAATAGTACCATCTGCGTTGCTTGGTCTGTGATGATTGAGACGTAGTAGATTGTTTAAATCGATCTTGGATTTCTTTCAAAAAAGTAAAAAATGTTGGTGAAATCTGTAAACCGTTAAATTCATGTGAGCTGTTGCCCCTGATATTCATCTCAGAGACTTTTGGCATAGGATTTCGCCCGACTGAAACACTTCGTAAGGCTTTAGCCGTTCTGAGGATGTCATTAGTGTTTGTTGAGTATCTTCACCTCGTCTCAAATTTTTGCCGTTTAGAACACATAAGGGTGGACATATTGGTTTGCGTTGCGTTTGACAAAGCAATTTCAGATTGTGGAGGATACTTTACGCAAATGGGCAAAAGAGAAAGAAAAGTTAGCAGCAGCAGCGTCACTTCCAACCTTGGCACACGATTCATCGTCAGGTAACTTCCACATATTACTCTTCAAAAAATTGCTTGAAAGCAGCCCTCGAATGGGGAACCATTGACAGTTTTGCATGCTAGTGGTTGCTGTTTGACACTTGCTACTGTTCAGGCCATTTTCTGGGTACCTCTGCCTTGAATTTACGGAGAAGAATTTGATGTGCACACGGAAAGTCTCATTCCCTTCCCCCGGGGCTAGTCATCTCATCAGAATTCCATGCAACCTCTTTTTCTTCTTATGGATGCTACCCTCTAAAACATTACATGTATCGCTTGTTAGCGAAACTTTTATCCGATTTAAGCAGGAATGTCAATTTGTTCCATGTTAGTGATATTACTGAGATGTTTCCGTGCGTCGGACACAAATTTGTCTAAGTCTTCAAATTTTCAGCGAAAGTGATAAAATATTTTTAAACTTTTTTTTTAACAAATTAAAGCCGTCATAAAATGGGAAAGGGAGGAAATTGAGGAGGATGGGTGGGTGAGGGGATGGAAAAGGGGGCACCTGCTCTCCTTATACGCTTTATAATAAAATCAGATTTGATAAGAAACAACGCTGGTCTGCTCACTAATTGATTATCTCGCTGTTGTCCTTCAACGAATCTCGTTTAGTTAATTTACCTTTTCTCCTGCCGGTTGCGCTTCTTGCATAGATACCCAGCAGCGTTTGTTCGGTTGCTGAGTTTCCGGCTTGTTCGCCCATCCTTGGGAAAAAACTGACTTAAGACAGGGATGGCCTAGTTTATTTCGTGACAGGAAATCAACGTGATTGGCATTGATTTGTCTCATATTTTATATTTTGGGCCAGAGGAAACAGCAACTAAAACAAAGGATTATTTTCTTCATCATTCTGCAAATTTCTCCATCCACTCCAGTGAAGGGGTCGAAAATCATAAGCTTCCGAACGCATTCAACATGTAAGGATAACAGCTGGCGTTCAGGTCACACCCTGGCGGTATTGCTGGACTTTATCTGCTTTAAGGTATTCGGCTGTAAATTTTGCAAATTTCTAGTATTTCCTACTTTTTAACAAAAATCTATGGTAGAGTTTAGTTAGACAAATTTGTGTTCTTATTCCCTTCAGGAGATGAAGAAATGTCAGACAGACTGTCCAGCTGGTAGTGCAGTATTGGTCAGAATAATTGAAAAAGTTTCCGGTTGCACAATTGAGAAGTGAATCGTGCATTAGAGTTATTGGTAGAAATTTGAGTCACTTGCGCAGCACAATTAAGGTTTTGTCATTTCCCTAAAAAAAAGCTAGAAGTCGATGAATTCTTTTTTCAAGAATGAAGTAGAATTTTTGCACGAGTACAAAAAATTTAACTCTTTTTTCGGGCCGAGGAATTCGCTTGTGGTTCAGTTAGCAACCTCGGGTAGCCAATTTTTCCTTGGGCTGCTTGAAAAATTGTTTTTAGAATATGTTTTGTCATCAAGAAATATGTTAGGTAATATGTTATGTTAGGCCAAGGTTATCTGTATGCTAGATATACCAAGTCAACATCAGCGTGAACGTATTCCGCCTTCTCATAGCCACGTTTTCCGGATTCTTGAAACGAGCGCTAAAGGCCAGTATACTGTGCACATCTTCTAGTCTTTAGAATTCTTCATTGTGCTCATCCTAGCATATTTTTTTACAGAAGCACTGGGACAAGAAGAATCGACCAGTGAAACGCGTACAATGTTATCCAGTATAGTTGAGGAAAAAGCCGAAGAGAAAGAATCGCGTACACCAAGCGAATACGGTACTCTAAACGATTCGCTGGTGCCCGAAGAACCCGTTACTCCGACCCTCTCTCCCCGGGAACAACTCCTTATGGATACTGTCGTACATCTGGGACACTGGTTAACGGAAACTGAACGTGATGCATCATCGACCGTTGATTTAGCCGATTTGGAGAGCATTCGAGCGGCCATAAATCACTCACAGGTATTTGCTGTTTTTATACTAAAAGAGTTGAGTTACAGTCTTATTTCGGCTTTGCGGGCAGTATAATTCGTAGACAGTAAGGCGCATGTTAAAAAAAATCGTGGAATTTCGGGAGCAAACGCTACTTCATCATTTCACGTGTGGTACCTTGACACTTTGGTTAAGTGTTGTTTCATCGCAGCATTCTCTCTGAAATTTTCTACATGTGTGTTTCTTTCCATTTTTCTTCACTAGTATTTTCTTATCAAAAAGATCCAAACTACTGCCATAGAGTTCGCAGTGTTACTTGCATACAGCTGGACTTCATGACACTGTACCGACGAGGGAAACCTACTAAATACTTTGGTGCTTCGATACCTTGGTCAGCTGCATTTTCGGGTTGGAGGCTGTACTGATGATTCTCGCTACTACCCGCACACATTGCTTGGTTTGTGTTTACAGCTAAGGGATGAAACACAGGTTTACCACATAGTAAAATGTCCTTCGGCGCATGACACTTAAGACCAATCCTTCCATTCTATTATTTCATAGCGTGCTTCTCCAGCTGTTACAACTGACAACTTTTCCAATCGCTTTGACCAATGTTGCATCGCTTAGTTGTTAGCCTACTGGTAATCCTGACGGTTCGTTTCATCCTCTAAACGAATTACTAGCTCGGTGGTTCTTCTGACAGAAGCATTTAGTCCTTACCCTTAGACCTTTGTGTGTTGAGCAACGCCTCATCTCCAGTTTCGTCACTTTTGGACTATGACAGGGTACGTTAGCGACAAAGGGACGTAAGATCACAGGTTAGGAAATTTTTAATCTTTTTTATGCGTTTTTTGCAGCCATGCAATGCGAAAAACGCATATTGACGAGAGATTGTCTGTGTGTGTGTGTCTGTGTGTGCGCTGCGCGTCTGTACCGATTTTTTATCTCGAGATCCACAAAAGCTACAGGGCTGAAACACTGGGGGTTTAATCTACATGCACGTATGGGCCTCTATCCCCAAAATGGGCGGTCTTTCCCGCGTGGTGCCCACGCAAGAGCCCCCCTCCTCCCCCCCTCCCCCCAAAGTTTTTTACGGGTAAGCTGCTAACTCGCGAACCAGAAAAGCTAGAGAGCTGAAATTT